CTTTCCTGCCCGGGCTGGCTTTGAACCGCGATCCTCAGATCTCAGCCTCCTGAGTAGCTAGGATTACAGGCGTGAGCCACCAGCGCCCGGCTAAACATTATTCTTAATTGGGAAGGATAACTGGTTAAGACCTTTCTTCATCAAACATTATTTGTGGGATGTGTTTTCTAACTAAGCAACTGAGCTTCCCTTTGGGAAAACGAGCAAATCTCACATGTTCATCCTTTTAGATAATCCACACAAATGCAACTCTTTCACTGCAGGTCCAGATTTTCACAAGTACAAGGACTTAGTTTATTGATATACGAGATTGTCTTTCAGGTGGGAAGACATGTCTTAGTGTAAAGGCTACAGTAACTTAGAAGGAAACCCCTCTAGGAAGCAGAAAAAGCAGACAGATGTGGGGAAGGGATAAAAAAAAGGTAAATGGGATGGAGAAATCAAATGCTAATGTTTACAAGACTTTCTGAGAGAAGGCCTCCTACATGGAATACTGGACCACTTAAATCTTCCAGTTGCTGCCCTGCCCTCTGATAGCTGTTTCCTTAGTTTTTTCACAGTTCTATCTGTGTTGTTCACACTGGATCAGGAAGTGCAATGATGAGTGAAAGTCTGAGTCTGTCCTTTTTAATAGCACTTTATAGAATAGTCATTGGCAATTAAATTCCCATTGGCTATTTTCTCAACTTCAATTTTCTGTTCAGTGACTTCAGCATCGATATAGTATTGAATACATGGTCCTGATGCTATTTTCCCAAAGGCAAGGACTTTTTTTTCGCATCACCTAGGACACAGTGGCTCACTAAACAGAGCGAAGGGAATTGAAGGGTGGATATGGAACCTGGCTGTTGGGAGAGATGTTTTCAAGTTTCTAAGCATGGCACACACAGCAGGGTCCCACCCCCACCCCTCAGCCACTAGAAAATGAATCTAAAACCTGGTGGTTGGTAGGCACACTACCATTTGAGCTTGAGCTATGGCCCAGCCCAATAGGCAGGGTTCTTTATTATTATTATTAATTTTTTTGTCAGTTGTGGGGCTTGAACTCTAGGCCTGGGTGCTGTCCCTGAGCTCTTCAGCTCAAGGCTAGTGCTCTACCACTTGAGCCAGAGCCACAGAGCCACTTCCATTTTTCTAGTGATTTATTGGAGATAAGTCTCATGGACTTTCCTGCCTGGGCTGGCTTTGAACTTCGATCCTCACATCTCAGTGTCCTAAGTAGCTAGGATTATAGGTGTGAGCCACCGGTGCCTGGCTTTTTTAGTTTGTTTTTTGATTCTTTTTTAGTTTGTTTTTTGATTTTTGGTCAGTCATGGGGCTTGAACTCAGGGCCTAGGCACTGTCCTTCAGCTCTTTAGCTCAAGGCTATCACTCTACCACTTGAGCCACAGTGTCACTTCTTTTATCATTTTTAAAGAAGTTGATAAGCTATTGTAATAGGTTTCCTTATTCTTTTCCTTTATTATTATTATTATTATTCCAGTCATGGGGCTTGATCTCTGGGTCTGGGCCCTGGCCTTGAGATCTTCAGCTCAAGGCTAGTGCTCTACCACCTAAGCCACACCATCACTTCCAGTTTTCTAGTGATAAAATGGAGACAAGTGTCTCATGGACTTTCAGGCCCCGGATGTCTTTGAACTGTGATTCTCAGAACTCAGCCTCCTGAGTAGCTAGGATTATAGGTGTGAGTCAACAGCGCCTGGCTTATATTATTTTTTATTTAAGTACTTGCACAAAGGGGTTTCAATTCAACATGTCAAGTATGTGAGTACATGCACTGTGCATCTTGATCAATGTTACTCCTTTTGATTGTTCTTCCTTATCTCCCCAACTCTTCAGTTTACCTAGTTCTATTTTACATATGTATATTGAATATTATTAGTGCATTCTGGGAAGGTTTTCCTTGAGGCCAAGTAGCCCAAAGTTCTTTTGGCAGCACACATCTGGAACAAGCCTAACTTCTCTAAATTCTGGCTCACATTGTATTGCAGAATGTGGACTTGTTTCATTTCATGGCCTGTTTTCAATAGAGCTGATGTTAGATAGAAGCAGTTAGTGGGGTGGATGAGAGCAGAGCCTTGATGTCTTGGCTTCTTAATGTATGTAATGCCACCAGCATCCCTCATTTCAGTTGCTACAAGCCAGCCACCAGCTGGCTCCCCTGCTTTTGTTCTTGCTCCCTGATAGTCTATTTCCTATAGCGTTGACAGAATTTTTTATTTTTTTCTGGTCCTAGGGCTTGAATTCTGGGTCTGGGCGCTGTCCCTCAGCTCTTCAGCTCAAGGCAGGCACTCTACCACTTGAACCACAGTGCCACTTCCAGTTTTCTGGTGGTTAATTGGAGATAAGAGTCCCACAGACTTTCCTGCCCAGACTGGCTTTGAACCATGATCCTCAGATCTCAGCCTCCTGAGTAGCTAGGATTATAGGCGTGAGCCATTGATTCCTGGCTTGACTTTTTTTTTTTTTTTGGTAGGTCATGGGGCTTGAACTTGGGGCCTGTGCCTGAGCTCTTTTTCTCAAGGATAGTGCTCTACCACTCTGAGCCATAGCTCCACTTCTGGTTTTCTAGTGGTTAATTGGAGATAAAGAGTCTTATGGACTTTCCTGCCCAAGCTGGCTTTGAACTGTGATTCTCACATCTCAGCCTCCTGAGTAGCTAGGATTATCGTGTGAGCTACCAGCATCCAGCTGCCAGAATGACCTTTTAAAAACATAAATCAAAGCCAGCACTATAAAACCAGCCAAGGGACTGGGTAAGTGGCTCAGTGGTAGAGTGCTTGCCTTGCATGCCTGAAGCCCTGGGTTCGATTCCTCAACACCACATAAGCAAAAAGAAAAAAGCTGGAAGTGGCACTGTGGCTCAAGTAGTAGAGTGCTAGCCTTGAGCTGAAGAGCTGAGGGACAGCGCCCAGGCCCAGAGTTCAGGCCCCACGACTGGACCAAAAAACAAACAAAAAAACAAACAACAACAACAACAAAAAACAGCCAAGCAAGCAAGAACAAGCAAGCACAAGCCAGATGAGGTCACTCTTTTGTGCTCTAAGGTTTTCAGAGGCTTGTGACATGGAGTTAATGTTATTCGGTATGGGGCCTCAGAAGGCCATTATGTAATTTATCCCCTGCTACCTGTCAGATCTTATTGCCTACAACTTTATCATTACTTCTAGTGTGAAACCACCTGGAGATCTTGTTAAAATACAGAATGTTGAGTTTCATCTCTAACTTCTGGTTCCTAGTTCTGGGCTATAGGAAGTACTCAGGTGATGTTGTTTCTGGTGTTGGAGAGAACCACACTTTGAAAATCACTGAGCCAGCCAAATCAACTGATTGGCATACTTCTCAAACATTCCAGCCCCACTCCTGTCTAAGTGGATTCTTCCTCTGCCTGGAAGACCCGTATATCAGCATGCCTTGCTCCTCTCATTTCTATCTACTGTCAGATTCTCAAAGACAGATCTTTCCTGACTCTCCCATTAAAAATACACTCTACTCCCAGCATTCTCACTTCTCCTTCCTCTCTCTGCACTTCCTCCATAGTACTATTTGACATACTGGGTTTTACTTGTTTGCTCCTTGCTAACCTTTACCTCATCAGCACAGGAGGTGGGGATTATGTGGGCAGCTGATTGCTTTATATCAACTATTCCATTGCTGTCTACTCATCATTAAACAATTGTTGGATAAATAAATCCATAAAACTGGATGCTGATATTAACTACCACATACAGTTGGATTACACGTTAATGTACGAAGCGCTCTAAGCATAGTACCAGGCACCCAGTAAGACTGGATATGATTTTTACTAGGGGAATCAAAAGTATTTGGTGCACTGGCATAGATATTCTGGGGCCTCATCAGGGTGTTTTTCCTTCTAGTTGGGTCGGACATGGGATTTGCTCTCTACAGAAGATTCTTTGTCCCTGCAAATGGGTCTCCGGTGAGTTTACTTTCTTCCTTTTTTCTTCTTTTTGTGTGCTGGCACTGGGGCTTGAACTCTGGGCTTGGGCACTGTCCCTGAGCTCTTGAGCTCAAGGCGAGTACTCTACCACTTGAGCCAAAGCACTACTTACAGCTTTTTGCTGGTTAATTGGAAATAAAAGTCTCATGGATTTTCTGCCTGGGCTGGCTTCAAACCATGATCCACAGATCTCAGCCTCCTTAGTAGCTAAGATTACAGGTGTAAGCCAACTGTGCTCAGCCTTTTTTTTTAAATAAACATTTGTTTATTCATCAAAAAGGATAATCAAGTAGGGGTTACAACTCTCTGATGTAAGGCAGTCAAATATCCACTTGAAGGGAAAAAAAAGAAATAGCCAACCCTTAAGGACTGGAGGCAAAGCTCAAACGATAGAGCATCAGCCAATGAGCAAAGCAAGCATCAGGCAGGAGTTTGAGCACTGCTCTTGGACACACACACAAAAAGAAATAGCAACTTGGAAGAAAATACATAAGGAAATCAGACCAGATTGTTCTCCTCACTCAGCAATCTCATTGTTGCACCTGCCATGTTGGTAGGCATTCCCAAACAGGGGAGAAGATTTAAAAGTGGACTTGAATAAAGCAATGAAAATTCGGGCCTTCTAAATGTATAATACAAAGAAGACCAATAAAAACACATTTTCAGTTGTGCTGGGATTAATCTTTGAATTTGGTAGTTTGAGTATTACTTTTTTTTTTTGCGGGTCCTAAGCCTTGAACTCTGGGCCTGGACCCTGTTCCTAAGCTCCTTTTGCTCAAGGCTAGCGCCACTTGAGCCAAAGTACCACTTCTGGCTTTTTCTGTGATTAAGTGAAGAATCTCATGGACTTTCCTGCCCCAGCTGATCACAATGCTCAGCTCTCAGCCTTCTGAGTAGCTAGGATTACAGGTGTGAGCCACTGGCACCTGGATGAGTATTACAATTTGTGTCTTCTAAGTTCATATCTATGAGGTTTCCCTAGCAGGGGTCTCCCATTGTCACTGAATTCCTGTTCTCTTGTTGACATTCTATAGATCCATTCTCAATGCAAAGGTGATGGAGGAGAATGAGAAACAATGGTTTCAGAGTATATGTAAATGACATTTTTAGCTTTGATGTTTTTGGAACTTCTCTGCACATGGAATTTGTGTCTCCTTTTAGCCTCTACTTCTTCAGACTTTGAGGACTCTTAGTTATTTGTATTTATGTGAGAGGGATGCAAATGAAATATGAAACTAGTGCTTGGTTGACTAATTTCTATCTTCCTCCCTTTTCTGCACAGGTGTCCTTTGCAGCTCACTTTGCAGGAGGATTGGCTGGAATGTCCATAGGTTACACTGTGTTTAGTTGCTTTGATAAAGCACTGCTGAAAGATCCCAGATTTTGGATAGCAATTGCTGCATATTTAGCTTGTGTCTTATTTGCTGTCCTTTTCAATATTTTCCTATCCCCAGCAAACTGATCTGACTCTACTATGAGTCAGATGTGGGGAGTGGAGGGGTGTTGGGGAGGAATAGAAAACTCTGATGAAACAGAGATGTCCCAGCAAATACTAACGTTTTATAAAGATGGCAATACTGCACTCATCAGTCTAAGGGCTGTTTACAGAAGGACCTTAGGATTTGAGAAAGAGGCTTCTGAATGAGAGGGAAGGTCATTCCCTGTTTATATCCTATCAAAGACTTGTTCTCCTTGGAGAACAAGGGTTTATATTGGAGGTTGCTTGATAAAATTCCATGAGTACTGTATTATGTTGATAATAAAACCTTTTATATGCCTGTAAGAATCTTGATAATCACTTTTGTGCTAGTACTGTGGCTTGAAGTCAGGGCCTGGGTGTTGTTACTTAGTTTTTTTGCTCAAGCCATAGACCAACCTTTAGCTTTTTGTTGGTTAATTGGAGATGAATTTCATGGACTTTCCTGCTCAGGCTGGCTTTGAATTATGACCCTCAGATTTCAGCCTCCTGAATAGGTAGGGTTACAAGAGAGAGCCATCAGTGCCTGGCAATAATAACTTTCAAGTAGATTACATAGGTTATTTATATACAATTTATTATAGTGCACAAAATATCAACTTTTCCAAAAGAAGATATTATAAATTTTGAAACTTTTACATTTTGACAGTTAAAATATAACTCACTTAAATGAAATTTCTAAAAACTTAAGGGTATTTTTAAAATTTATTAGCAATTACTATATTATACACAATGTGCAGTCTTCATAATAAACATGAATATGTACACATATTTTTCTCTAATGACATTTTTGTGTTTAATTTTAAAGTGGCTATTAATTAGAAAAGGAGACAAGGGAAGAAATATTCATCTGACATAGCCAGATCACCAGTTATGAAGAGAACGTTAATGGCCTAAAGTACAATGTAATTGTTAAAAATAGAAAACTACATAGGGGTTAAAATTTGTCTAACTGTGAAATCGGGCATGACCTATTGATTTGAAAGGCTGATGACTACAAAGTTATTTAATATTTTTTAAGTAGTAGTACAGGCCTGTAATTCCAACATTCATGGAGTTGGAGGCAGGATGATGAGATTGAGGTCCATCCTGAACTCAAACCAGGATTATTTTAAAAAATGAGTAAAATCAATAAAGAAACACGGGCTGGGGATGGTGGCTCACGCCTGTAATCCTAGCAACTCAGGAGGCTGAGATCTGAGGATTGTGATTGGAAGCCAGCTGGGCAGGAAACTCTGTGAGGCTCTTATCTCTAATAAACTAGAACTGGTGCTGTGGCTCAAGTGGTAGAGAGCTTGCCTTGAGCAAAAGCAGCTCAGGGACAGTGCCCAGGCCCAGAGTTCAAGCCCCGGGGCTGGCAAAGAAAGAAAGTAAAAAACAAAAACAAAACAAAACAAAAAAAAGAAACATGTGTCACCCTAAACAGTAATTTTTTGGGGGGGTCAGTCATGGGGCCTGAACTCTGGGCCTGGGTGCTGTCCCTCAGCTCTTCAGTTCAAGGCTAGTGCTCTACCACTTGAACACAGTGCCACTTCCAGCTTTTTCTGCTTATGTGGTGCCGAGGGCCTCATGCATGCAGGTCAAGCACTCTACCACTGAGCCATCTTCCCAGCCCCTAAACAGTAATATTTTACTGGCAAAAATTGTAATAAAAAGCATATATCTTCTGATGTCCTAAATTGGGCATCTTGAGTTAGAGGGGTCGGTCATTTACTAGTGTGATCTGGGGCTCACTGCTTTTTTCTTTTAGTCTGCATGTGTTCTTAAGAGCACTGGAAGCATTCTGTGTGCTTTCCAATAATGTAGCTATGGGCACAAGAAGCTTTTTAGATGCCTGTTAAATAATTCAGCTGCACTCACACACAGCTAGATTGCAAGTGTTCAATTGCTGCATGTAGCAGCTTACTACCTTATTGGACCAAGCACAGAGACTCTTTCCAGTGTTGCAGAAGCAGTTCTATTGGACAGTGCTATAGAAGAAAATGAGCTGAAGGGAGGTGATTTAGTTGATGGCCAACTATCCATTGTGCTGAACTGCACTGGACCTACCCAACATCTCAAAGAAACAAATCTAAAGAAGTTGAAGATGGCCATGGTGTAACTTCTAAGCATGATTTGCCTCAGGTTCACCTAACCTAAAACAGGTATGAGCTAATTTTTAGCTAGCTAAGAAAGTATTGTTATAAATGATTTTATCTTTTGCTTTTGTATCCATGTATCTTCTGCTTCTAAAAAATCTTATGTATACTTAGTTTTCATGCCATTTGCTAAAGAGGATTTAATTTGTAAAGAATATATTGCTCCTTCTTTTAGGAAATACTTTAACATTCTTGTCTTGAGGAGAAAATCCTTTCTTTTGGTGATTACAAGAGTGATGGGAAAATAAAACTCATATAGTTAAAAATTAGGTTAATTATAATGCTACAACCTAGAGATTGAATTTTGATGAATATCCTTCCAGAAGTTTTGCATGCATTTCTATATATAAATTTACAGAGGGACTCTGCTATTTTACAACCTAAATCACATTGTTTTACATTAGTATAAATTTAACATTTCTACTGGTGCACAGAATCACACTGGAGGATGTAGAATTATTTAACTAGTCTTTCTAGTGTTGTTAGTTATTATGGATGCTTTCAATTCATGACTATTATAAATCACAACATGAATAATCCTTGCTTACATTTTAAAGTGCCTGGTTTCTTGGGTCAAAGGATGCAATTATTAATATGATAAAGCCAATAGAATTTTTTCTATCAGGAATACAATTAAATCTTAGATGGGAGATGCTTTGCAAGTCTTATAATTGTATAAAAAACAAAACAAAGATCCAATAACTTAAGGGCACTGGTGGCTCATGCCTATAATCCTAGCTACTCAAGAGACAGATCTGAGGATCACAGTTTGAAGCCAGTCTGGGCTGGAAAAGTCTAGGACACTCTCCTCTCCAATTAACTACTTTCTGAAAACAAGAAGTGGAGCTGTAGCCCAAAATATCAGAGCACTAGCCTTAAGTGAAAGAGTTCAAGGACAGCCCCAGGCTCTGAGTTCAAGCTCCACAACCAACCAACAAACCCCCAACTCTCTCTCTCTCTCTCTC